TTAGGTGGGTATTTTAGTATTCCGGCACAACGAACAGATAATGGTGATCGTCTGCTGCAACTGTGCTCAGACAATCGTTTATTTTTCGCAAACAAATTTTAAGCATAAGGAGAGACATCGTCTAACATGGCGACTCCCTACACCAAACCAACGATAGACTCAAGTAGACCATATTTTATTTATTTATTTCAACACATAGATAATGGTACAAAGAGGCACCAAATACATATGCGCCACACAAATCTCATTCGATATGTGTGAGGGCTGTGATACTGCCCGGGTGCCCAAACCGAAGCAGGTGGTTTTCTTAGGAGGCCACACCTCGAGCCTTCGACCTGAAGGTCTGATCCACAAGGCAGTGGAGCATCGTAAGGAGATGCAGTCCCATGGAAGCCGGTGACCAACAATTGGTTCTTACGCCATTTGTTCCCGCAGTATACTGGAGCCCATGTGTAACATTGATTTGGTTTGGGATCAGGTTAAAGCGCCGGACATTCGCTTTTCGTCCTCTCATTTTCATAAACAACAGTGATGCCACGAGAAGGCAGTGAGTAGGACTTCCCTGGCAGAGGCTATATACGCGTGGCCGTGTGAGAGCATTTCGAGAGGGAGAGCGGACTCTCCACTCTCGGCCGTACCAGGGCATTTGGGGGCTAGACCATATTGCTATCAGTCATCGTTGGAGAGGGTCGGTAGAAGATTGTCGCTCATTCTGGAGTACCTGCTTGGACTCCGACCATAACCTAATACGGGCACGCATCTGCTTGCGCCTCACTGGACGCAAAAAAGCCACATTAAAAAGACCCATTAGAAATGAGTTGAGTAACGAAAAAACCAAAAGTAAGTTCCAGGAACAATTGAGGTCACACTTAGGTAGTTCTGAAAACGAGGCTGACCCAGATGTTGCTTGGAAAGCTATACAAGCAGCTGTGGAAACAGCAATGAAATCTATAAGTGACTTAAACCACAGGGTTACAAAGAACCAATGGATTTCTTCAAGGTCTATTGTACTGGTGGATTCTCGTAAACTCATCAATTCAGACTCTGAACACGATGAAGAGCGTAAAGAAATCAGATCTAGGTGAAGCAAAAGTCTAAGAAACGACCGTGAGCAGTGGTGGGTAACGAAAGCATAAGAGATGGAAAAGGCGGCGGCTATAGGGAACACAAGACAGCTCTACTGACTAATAAAAGAAACTGGAATTAATAAATCAAGTGTAAATCAGTTTATTTCGGAAAAAGACGACACCCTCATCTGCTCTCAGTCCAGGCGTTTAGAACGATGGGCGGGACATTTCAGAGAACAGTTCAGCTGGCCTTCATCTACCCTCCATTCCCAGACAGTGTGAATGGAACATTGAAGTAGGTCCCCCAACTCTAGCAGAAGTTCAAAAGGCTATAGTTAATCTAAAACGAGGAAGGGCAGCCGATCCAAAGGGATTGGCTCCAGAGGTCTTTAAGGATGGTGGTCTAATGTTAGTGATTATGTTGACTAATATTTTAGCTAAGATCTGGGAGTTGGACGTTATCCCATCTGACTGGTCACAATCACTTATCGTCACAATATATAAGAGACGGTTAAAATCATCCTGTGACAGCCATAGAGGGATTAGTTTAACTAATGTAGTATCTAAAATACTAGCCTCGATAATTATCAGACACCTAAGACTCATGAAATGCAAACACGAGAGAATCAAGCTGGCTCCAGACCTGGCTGTGGCTGCATCGACCACATATTCACCATTCGTCAGGTTCTAGAACACAGGCATACCTATCGGCGTCCGACAATGGTGGTGTTTCTTGACTTAAAAACAGCACTTGACTCGGTAGATCGCGAAATTCTGTGGCAGTGTCTGTCATTGAAAGGCGTACCTCAGAAGTACATAAACCTTGTAAAGACTCTTTACTCGAATAGTACCAGTCGAGTCAGAGCTTATGGCGAACTGTCATCTACTTTTGCAACCTCAAGTGGTGTCCGTCAAGGCTGTCAACCTCCATTTTTGTTTAACTTCATCATAGGCCTATTGATGGAAATAACATTCTCGTCGACTGAATTCTCGGGTACTGATCTCCTTCCAGGAGGTACACTTATCGACTTAGAATACGCAGATGATATAGTCCTGTTTGGTGAAGACGCAATGCTAACCGGTGTTGGAGATGGTTGGAAGAAAGTTAGGGGTGGCCAAACCAAAACGTGGCACCAGTGCTTGAAGTCTTAGTAGCACTAAACAACAATGCCAGAATGTTTGGAATACGCTTCTCTCCCTCTAAATGTAAGTTGTTGCTTCAGGGACTGACCTGCGTCAACACCTGAACTAAGGATAGGGAGTGAAGTAGTCGAGCGCGTTGACAACTTCACTTATCTTGGAAGTCTGATCAGCCCTAATGGGTTGGTATCGGATGAAATCTCAGCATGGATTCGAAAAGCTCGTTTGGCTTTTGCCAACTTACGTCACCTATGGCGAAGGCGAGATATCCGTCTATCAATGAAAGGACGATTATACTGCGCGGCAGTTCGTTCTTTTATACTTAAAGGCTGCGAAACGTGGCCATTAAGAGTAGAAGATATTCGTAAGCTACTAGTATTTAGAAACAGATGCCTCGGATGTTGCTGGCATGCAGGGTATTAGGGAACGATGGTAGACCAGTTGATAAGGTCGTGAATCTTCATCGACTAAGTAGGTTGGGTCACGTGTTACGTATGCCTGAACACCGATTACCACGACGCGCAATGCTGACTAGCGTTGGAGACGGTTGGAAGAAAGTTAGGGGTGGCCAAACCAAAATGTGGCATCAGTGCTTGAAGTCATTACTAGTCTTAGTCATGTTGGCAGATGCAGGCTAATTGGTCGGGGTCCGCATGACTATCGTAACCAATGGTTGGACACTAGGTGATATTGCCCAGAATCCATCACAGTGGCGTAGGTGTATACACTCTCTGTCTTTCCTTAAACTATGAGATTAAAATCGCTTCATATCTTTCTATGAACTAATTCTTTCTTCCTGTACGATGCCCTTATATGCAATCTTTCTTTTATATATTACCACCTCTGAATTAACTACTTTTATGAACCTGGTGTTCATCTTGTGTTAATGAGGTATGGCAACTTGGACCGATGCATATATGTACCTGGTCCTACGTTGTAGTTGACTGACTTTTCTTGTATATTATTATCGACCTAATCCGCGTTAGTGAGTGTAACGGAATTAAATAAGCTTAATGCGAACAATGGATTTTGATTACGTGTATTTTATGTACTCAGTGATTTGAACAGGCAATGAAGGAGATGAAATCAAGAGAGGAGTGACGTGAAATGGCGTGTATTGGAGAAGTCACGTGTTAATCAATACTCATAGCCAGGTAAAAATAGGTTACAGACATGTGAATAGGATAAGAAGTGTATACACACATACGCTCATATAAAAACAGTTGGGGTTGGTAAGTGAATAATTAACAAGGTAAGAACGTGACTCAATAATAACGGATAAACTGGCTTGTCCAGAAGCTGGAATAAGGTATATGGGCTTAACAGAGTAAGTGACACTACGATGCATCTAATTTACCCAACTGGGTTTTCTCCGGTGGAAATCACATGGATGTATTCAAGATTTATTTTCTTTGAATTAGAGCAGTGTATTCTATGAGTTTATGTTGTGATGAGACTTTCTGAAAGTTTCAAATAGGCTAGTTAAAAGAGAACACTTGGAAATACTCATCAGTTAATCTCTTTCCGCTGTGGATAGTAGTAAGGGTGTTCCAGAATGCTGTTTTGTACTAAAAACAAGAAAGTTGGATTCTTCAAATAAAATGTATTGGGTACGGTCCTAAAAAGTGTTTACTGGAACCAGGATTATAACTTACACCAATTTCAACGAGACTATCTTCAGTTGGTAGTATATGGAATAGGGTTTGTGAAGTTTCTCTATACTATGTTACAGTTAACGCCGTTAATGTATGTGCTAAAGCGGTTGGATAGCCCACGCGATACTGCAATTCTAATCATCAAACTATCAATCAGAACGCCAGGAAGATCGGACAAACAACTCACTATTTTGTATTCTTCAAACTTACAGCTCATGTGATTATATGCATTAAATACAAGATTATGACGTACTATAAATACAGACGAATATACGTTCCTCAAATATGTCACTAAGGTTTTATTTGAGAAGAAACAATCACCACAATTGAATACGTCATTCAACGGTATTCTGTAGGTCTTAAAGATATTAATGTTTGTCATAAATCGATTTGCTGGTTAAATTTTCTAATCACGCAATTTCTAATTGACCTAACATTTACATGTGAAGAACTCAAGCTTTATTTAATGCAAAGAAAAACCAGGGAATGCCGTCCTTAGTTACTTACGCCTGTTGCTCCTAATGGAGCATAGGCCGCCGAATGTCGTCCTTACAACAAGTATATTCGTAACTATGACTAAAATTAACTGACTTGACAGAATCTGTTAATGCACATGATGGTCAGATTTCAATATAATGCGATGATTTAATCCACTTGAGACGTTTAATTATTGAGTTCTTACGATACCAAGTAGGTCAATTGGGAGTGTGGTAAAACTAAGAGAAAAAGCTTTCACAGTTTGAAACCAAAGATTTGTATCACTAGAATGTGATGTTAGGAAGATCCAAGTCCAAGATCATTTTCATCTCATGCATCCTCGTTAGGATCTTTAAACCGCCCAACACAAATGAGACAAAAACAGTCAGTAGATTCATAGACTGATCCATTCTTCATTTAATTATTTCTGATCTCTAAGCTAATTTTACACTTGCCAGAATAGCATATTAAGGTAGGCTATGGAATCAGATACATGTGGCACGTCCCAGCCATTTATGTAAACAACTTACCATTTTATATTCGCTATACTGTGTTAAACCTTGAAATTCTTTACTTAGTGATTGCACTATACACACAAACAAGCATTTGCTCCAAAATCCCATCGAAGGTATTATCAAGCTTAATACAACCATACAAGAATACAGCTGTATATATATTAATGTTTTATCTAGTTATTAAAATGTATAAAAGAGAGCACGTTGGCTAAAAAGGATTCAATTTATGAATTAACTTTTCATGTTATTAATACAGAAAGTCAGATAACAGAGAACGTAATCTAAAACAGTTTCATGGCATGTATTGAAAAGAATAAAGATAGTTGGATTTGCTTGAGTATTTTTTTATCAAATGAAAAAGTGAATATATACGGCAACTTTGCAACATAGTTATTATTCCTCATCTTTATATGTGAGTCATCAGGCAAGCATAGACTTAGGGACAATGTAATCATTGACCAACCAATTAATCGATCAGTTATCATCGGTGAGTACTGATGAGTTTGTATTGTTTCTTTGATTGACGATTTGATGTTCTTTGTTACTGTTAGTATGTTGTTTACCACTACGACCACTTTTCTGTTGTGGTTTTGTCTGAGATGTACGTTTGGCTGCAGCGATTGCTGCACGCTGTGCTTCACGGGCTAAATGATAAGATTGTGAGATTAAGGAAACATAAACAACATTATTTTAAATGCTCGTATGGTATGAAATAAAACGAGTTTTACATGGAAGAATATATTGCATGTATAAACTTTTAGTATCATTAAATATATACATATAGGTAGGTAGGGATCTAACGAGTTGTTATTTCCTAAGTACTGGAAAAAGTATATCGAGGTCTACAAAATAGGAATCTTAGGTTGAAAGTCAGTCCATTATCACCGACTGAGGAGGTCAGAATAAGCGTTATGCCTTCCCTACGATGTTTTACCCTGGCGGACAATATCAACCAGTGTAGGAGAAAGTCCGAAAAAAACTAAGGGTGGCCAAACCAAAACGTGGTACTAATCAATGAGTTCATTGAGTATTGAACTAAGCTGTATTGGTAGATGAAAACCATCTGGTTGGTATCTGCCTAATCACTGGTTGGAGACTTGCATGACATATCTAGCCCCCAAATGCCCTGGTTCGGCCGAAAGTGGGGAGAGTCTCCTCTCCAGATACTCTCATATGGCCACATGTATACAGCCACTGACATGGAAGTTCTACTCCCTACCTTCTCGCAGCATTACTGTTTACGAAATTGAGAGGAAAAAAAGCGAATGTTCGGCTCTAACCAGGTTGGTAGACACGGAGAGTCCACTTAGGGGAGTTGTAAAACCCTGATTACAAACCAATGGTGTATATGGACTGCAGGATCCTGAAGGAACGGATGGTGTATGAATCAATTACTGATCATCGTCTACCATCCGACTACATCCGAAGTCGCTCTACTGCCTTGTGGACCGGACCTTTAGGTCGAAGGTTCCGGGTAGGGCTCCCTAAGAAAACCACCTGATTTGGTTTAGGCACCCGGACAGGATCACAGCCCACACACAAATCAAGTGACTTGTGTGGTGCGTATCTATTCGGTGCATATATTTATATGTTTAAATAAATATAATAATATAATATAGTAATATAAAAATAACAGATGTCTCAGATATATTGCTGGCATCTGCTGGGACGCAGGGTATTAGAGAATGATAGTAAATCACTTGATGACGTTGTGAATTTTCATCGACTGAGACGGTTGGGCCACGTGTTACATATTCCTGAACTCCGATTATCACGACGCGCAACGCTAACCGGTGTTCGGGAATGTCTAGAAGAAAGTTAGGGGTGGCCAATCCAAAACGTGGCATCAGTCCATAAACTCACTAACTTCTAGCCTTTGCCATGTTGGTAGATGCAGACTACTTGGTTGGGGTCCGCGCGACTATCGTAAACAATGGTTGTAGACTCTGTGTGAATATGGCTCGGAATGGATCACAATGGCGTCGGTGTATACACTCTCTGTCTTCCCTTAAACTATGAGATTAAAATCGCTTTATACCTGTCTTTTCACGAATTAATTCTTTCTTCCAGTGCCATATCCTTATATGTAATCTTTCTTTTATAGACTACTACCATTGAATTAACTACTCCCATGAATACGGTGTTCATCTTGCTGTGCTAATGAGGTATGGTAACTTGGATCGATGCATATATATGTGCCTGGTCCTACGTTGTAGCTGATTGATGCATCCTCTTACTACTAACGGTAATTAACTTGACGACTGAGAAGTTTTTCTGAGCTTTAATACAATTCGATAAACAATTAATCTTTCTTATCATACAAAAATTATTCAATGATTTAGGTGAATACCTAAACTATGAGGGTTTTTTTTTCTACTCTTTCTATATATATAACTTACATTTTAAAAACTATACTCACAATTGTATACTGTTTGAATAATATGTAAAAGTACAAACTATAGTTCACCTTGTTTTTCTTGTTCAAGTTTTTGAGCTGCTAATTCACGTTCTTTCCTAACTAATTGAAGACGTGCTATGTTAGCTGCTAATTCAGTTTCTGATAATAATTTTATTGGGTCAGTTGTAGCTTTGATAGATGCGGCAACTTCTTTTCGTGAAGGACTGAAATTATAGAAGACATTACTATTTTTTCTTTAAGAAAAAAACTTAGTTTAATAGCTAATTTGCATGCAGTTTACAAATAATATTGATGAAATGCAACACATACGTCTATTAAAACAACGCATTTACTCAGTACAGCTCTAAGGCATATTGGTTTGGAGAGCTAATGATACGAATCGGTTGTCCAAACTGAACTAGACGGAGTAACGTTTAATCAGTCAGTCATTAGCAACATAGAACCTGGAACATATGTAAACCAGTTCAATTGGTCATAATACATCATTACAGAGACATGAAATTATCTAGAAGTAGTGTTATCAGTTTTAGTAAACAGACCAGCTACACAGATGATTATAGGACATAAGTCGGTATGATAAAAGTATAACAATTTTACAACTCAAGATCTAAAGGAAGACAAAGAGTGGATGCTTCTGTGACGTTGTGACTAACCATGCCATTTAACGTGCCAAACTGTTATAATCTCTTTCTTACGGTTACTGGGTTTCTTCTGGTTCCTTACAACTCATTGAAGCCCGTCGGTCTACTCCGGGTGACCGTGAGTTTGACCATAAACGAAGGATGTTACGTAGGGAAATTGGGCAAAGCTTGCGTAAGGACCGAGAAGCCTGGTGGTCGGAGCGTGCTAATGAGCTGGAAGCAGCAGCTGCATCTGGTAACTACCGGAAGCTCTTCCAGCTCATCCGAGCCACTGGCAGCAAGAAGTCTGGTGTGAGTGAAACAATCTGCGAGGATGATGGGATGCCAATCACTAACATCCATCGACGTCTTGGACGATGGGCAGAATTTTTCGAAGGGCAGTTCAACTGGCCTGCTGCTCCGGCAATATCGGTCAGGCTGTCCTGCCCTCCATGGCCGGTGACGACTGATCCACCAAACGAGGAGGAAGTCCGCAAGGAACTCCAACTCTTGAAGCGTTACAAATCACCTGGCCCAGATGACTTACCTCCGGCTCTTTTTAAAGATGGTGGTGACTTTTTGACTAAGGACTTGACGACGTTGTTTACAAACGTTTGGGAACTAGAGTGTGTACCAACGTCATGGAATGAGTCGATAGTTGTCCCTATCTTTAGAAAGGGTTCACGTCGTTCCTGTAACAACTATCGGGGGATAAGTCTACTTCCGATTGCGTCCAAGCTATTGGCTTCCGTCATACTTCGTAGGTTGTTCAAAACTCGGGAAAGATTGACTCGCGAGGAGCAGGCTGGGTTTCGTTCTGGTCGAGGATGTATTGATCATATCTTCACCCTCCGCCAAATGTTAGAACATCGCCATACTTATCAAAGGCCAACAATCGTGGTGTTTCTTGACATCAGGGCTGCCTTCGATTCGTTGGACAGGACTGTTCTCTGGGATTGTCTATTGAAGAAGGGTGTGCCTGAGAAGTTTATTAACATCCTAAAAGCCCTATATAAAAACACCTCAGGCAGAGTGAGGGCATACAACCACCTCTCTCCATTGTTCCATTCGAGTAGTGGGGTTAGGCAGGGTTGCCCAATCTCACCATTCCTCTTCAACTTTGCCATCGATGACATTCTGGAAACAGCTTTGATGAATGTAAGTAATGGTGGTGTGGATCTGTTGCCTGGAGAAAGACTTCTCGACCTTGAGTATGCCGACGATATTGTCTTACTGTGCGATAATGCCCAAGGCATGCAATCCGCAATTAATCAGTTGGCAATCAGTGTCCGTAGGTATGGTATGTGTTTTGCACCTTCGAAGTGCAAAGTACTTCTACAAGACTGGCAGGATTCCAATCCTGTACTCACCCTGGACGGTGAGCAGATAGAAGTAGTCGAGAAGTTCGTGTATCTGGGTAGTTGCATAAGTGCTGGTGGGGGTGTGAGTGATGAGATCAATGCACGTATAGTGAAAGCCAGAGTGGCTTATGCCAATCTGGGCCATCTTTGGCGCCTTCGTGATGTTAGTCTGGCTGTAAAAGGTCGGATCTACAACGCGTCGGTGAGAGCAGTTTTGCTCTATGCTTGTGAAACCTGGCCTCTCCGAGTTGAGGACGTTAGATGACTCTCTGTGTTCGATCATCGCTGTCTCCGAAGGATTGCTGATATTCAGTGGCAACACCATGTCAGTAATGCAGAGGTTCGGCATCATGTGTTTGGGCACAGAGATGATAATTCAATTGGTGTTACCATCTTGAAACACCGACTTCGGTGGCTTGGACATGTTCTACGAATGTCGTCCCAGAGAATTCCACGTCGTGCATTATTTGCCGACTCTGGGACTGGTTGGAAAAAGCGGAGAGGTGGTCAGTGCATGACATGGTGTCGTGGTATGAAAGAAAGCTGCAAAGGACTGGCTTGTGTTGGTCCTTCACGACTCCCTGGTTGGGGTCTGAGAGATGGTGCTACACAGTGGCTAGAGACGTTATCAGATATGGCTCAGAATAGAAGCCAGTGGCGATCCTGCTGTAACCTTCTTTTACTTTCTTCATAAAAAGTGGTTGTGTCTCCCTTACTTGAAAGATTTCTTCTGATTGTACTTTTCCGTTCCATTGTTACGACCACACTAAATCTCTTCGTTATCGTTCTCTTTTGTGCTCCTTGGTTTTTTTTTCTTTTTCTATCTCTTCGAAGTTACATTGTTTTGTGTGGCGCATATATATTGGCGCTCTCTTGTACCAATATTTATGTGTTAAAATAAATAAATAAATAAATATGATCCAGCTATACCTATTGCTCGTATTTCCGGACACCAAATCACTCGACAAGTCCCCAAATCAGAACAGGAAAGAGATTATATTCCAAATAACAAGGTCAGATGGAAGCAAGAAGCAATCAAGTAGTGCAATAGGGAAAACACTAGCATATTTATAGTTTTTCACATGAGATTTCTCGAGTGTTCACTAAGTATTGGGTAACGCTGATTGGCTAATTCTTGCCCAATCAGCGTGCAGCAAAGCAGTCGTGCATTAGGCATGCTTTTATCCAGTCTATGTCCCACTAACACAAACCATTGGTTTCGATGTTTGAACATATCCTAACTAGGTTGTCTGAACCTACTAATACAACTTAGGCCAACAGTCATTGATTTTATAGACGTATGATGTGTCTGGTTTTGGGTGTTTGTATTAACTTTTTTTCCAACCTACCTCTACACCAGCCAATATCGGGCGTCCGGGTATGAGGTGGTTCGGCATACGTAATATGTATCTGAAAAGATTTGGGTCGCCTATCATCCTGAAGCACAATAATAAATTTAAAGTAGGAATATAACCGGGGTAACTGACAAAAGTAAGTCAATAAGTCAGAGTAACTTTTTGTGTGTTGATGTGTATGACAGGGGTAATATCATTCCAAAAAACTGTCTATGCAAGTCGGGTAATCTTTTTCATTTACCTAGTAAATACTATTTCTTGTTCAGTATTATGATTATTTAAACACATAAATATTGGTACAAGGAGGCAACAAACAGACATGTGCCACAAGTCACTAGATTTATGTGAGAACTGGGATACTCCCCGGATGCCCAGACCGAAGCAGGTGGTTTTCCTGGGGAGCCACGCCCGGAGCCTTGGACCTAAAGTTTTAATCCACAAGGCAGTGGAGCAACGTAAGAGAATGCAGTCCCGTGACCATCAATAGGCCCATACGTTATTTGTTCCTTCAGGATACCGGAGACCATGTGCACCATTGGTTTGGAATGAGGGTTTTCTAACTCTCCTAATTGGACTCTCCGTGTCCACCAACCCGGTTAAAGAGCCGGATATTCGCTTTTCGTTCTCTCAATTTCATAAACAACAGCATTGCCGCGAGAAGGAAGTGATTAGGACTTCCCTGACAGTGGTTGTATGCACGTGGCCATGTGAGAGCATTTCAAGAGGGCGAGCTGGCTCTCCCCACTTTCGGCCATACCAGCACATTTGGGAGCCTGTTCGGTATTAAATGCATAGCACATACTATTACATTAGAACCAATATCTTCTAATTCTTTAGAGACGAGGCTCAAAAAATATCAACCGAAGTCATCATTACACTATTAAAACATCAATTGATTAGAATAACTTACACAACTGTTTTAGAAGATTTTACATGATTAGGATTGCAAACTTCAATCAAATGACTAACACCCTTATGACGTTCAGTTGTGTCTTGCTCGTCGTCATCTTCCTCCTCCTCCTCCTCCTCATCATCATCATCCGTTTCAGTATCATCAATATTCTTGTCATGAATTGTTTTATTGAGAGATGATTCAGCTTCTTTAGATAACTAGAAAAGTAAATGGATCAATATGATAATAAGCGTTCAATGATATGCCATAAATACAATTTTTATGATATCTGTAAGCAAAAGTTGCAAGCAATCAGTTCGAAATCTTGCAGAGAATTTTAGAGACAAAACTTGATGACCAACTTCCAAAATTTTGTATAACTTACTCCAAGTTGACGATCAATTTCTTCCGGGGCAGTAAACTTTCGGGTTCTACCTTTGTGCATACGTTTGCCTATTTTTTAATAGAAACAAGACAATCGTATGATTGAAGTTAATTATGAATTGAAGACCATATCAACGTTAATGCTTTTAGACTCAGTCACTAGCTAATCAGTTTATAAAACCTGAAAAATAGTGTAGATTTTAAAAATTGCATAATGTAAGACAGTGTTAACCTTTTCCTCTAGCTTAGTCGGCACCAACCTAAACAGGCCAATAATCTTGGGAAGGCAAAAACAAAAAACATCGTGCAACAAACTGTATTCATTTAGTTTGGTGAGTCTGAACTCTTCCTTTTCCATGTAGTTAGATGTGTCACTTTTATCGTTAAAGTAATCCCAAATAATGTCCGTATTAACACAAATTCGATTTATAAACGAATGCGATAGTCGAGAGGACATGATGTATTCGAGTACGAGAAACATGTAGATTGTCAAGATTATCGTACAAAGGATGACGAAGGTAATAGACATTATCTAAAGACAGCTATAAAGCTGTAATGATGGTAGCAACAATGAATGGTAAAAAAATATGGGGAGGGTATAAGATTACGGAGGATTTAGTGATAAGGCTGCTCGTTATGACAATAAATTAGAACCAAAAATGTTGAATGACTTGAACAGCTGAAAATTGCCAAGTGGTTGCATGGGAAAACATTAAACAAGGGTGGGGCCTCCTATAAGAACTACTTGCTTCAGTTTGGACGCCCAGGAACTGTCCCATCTCTCACACAAATTATTTGAGTTATATGGCGCATATATATTTGGTGCCTCCTTGTACCCATGTTTGTGGTTAAATAGCTAATAAGTGGATATTCGGCGTTAAACATTTTTCGATTACAGCTTCAATTGGTAACAACAAAAAATTATGTTAAATTACCCCTCATTTTTGCCGAAATAGAGTGAGATGTTAGATGAAAACAGAAAACCCTTAGAATTGAAAGGGTAATTCTATCAAACACAGATACGATGGACCAGCGATGACCTCGAGATTTTAAATTTCTTGGCCACAGAAGTTATCACGCTACCTTACGGTACTCACTATCTTATCGTCACTCTGCAACAAACTTCTTATTTTTGTAACACAATGTCGTTATATCAAATCAAAATGCCGATAAAAGATGAAAAGATTGTCTTATGCAAGTGGTTTTGGACGGAACAGAAGGAGCTTTCTCTCGATGAACTTTCGCATCTAGAAGCATTAAAGAACCAATACTTCCAGGAAGTAATCTAGGTATATTATCTATAAAAAGGAAAAGAGACTAAAAATATTGATAAGTCATAGTAATGTACCATCTTTAGTCCTCAAGAGCATGTCAAGTTTTCTATTAAAGAGCTCATAGGAAGTCGTTTTGACGAGCCCAGCTAGCAGTGAATTCCAAAATTTGACAACTCTTAAGGAGTAGAAGTTGGGTCAACAGTCCATTCTACCGTGTTGTGTCTCCAGTTTCTAAGTGTTACCCTCAAGTTTTGTGTTAGGGATAAGCTTAAGTAGTTGCTTTAGGGGATGTTCGGAAGTATTTGAGACGCTGTAATCCATTAGAAAGTCACTTCTAAGACGCCTATAATCCAATATGTAAAGGTTTAATGATTAAAGGCGCTCTTCATAATGCTTGAATTCGAGTTTAGACGGTGAGACCGTTGGTCTTAGTACACAATATCACTATTATTTATACTTTTATTTAATAATAAATGTGTAGTGCTACATAGAACTCTGATCCAAAAGTAATTCGACAAGTTTATTTTTCAGAAAAAGAAAACAGACGACTGCATTTATAGATACACAACTTAAACAAATGAACTACTTAGATTTAACTAAATGATTGTTGATAAGACATGAGTCTGTACTGGTTTATGTCTAAAAAACAAATATTTGACCGATCCAGCCCTAACAACCTATTCGTTTTTATAGTATATTTGCTAGATAAGGCACTGTAGAGCTTTTGTATTTTGTCTTCCGTGCACGGATGCTAATATGTCGTCGTCGCGTTCTACCAGAAGATATGCAAGGGAAAACATTTGGACAAAATGGATAGCTAATATTTGATAACACTTTCCAGGAGTTTGCAAGATGTCAAGTGTCTATCCACAACCGTACTAATCGTCCTCGCCAAAGATTCGCCACATACCTTGTCAGCTGCCGTCAGCACTATCCACGATATAGTAAAATCATTTATTGAAATAACGGAAAAATAATGGAGAACCGTAAATAAAAATAGGTCGAATGTAGGAATAAAAAAGTCGCAGATGTTAATATCGAGCAATGGGAAAGGGTTGCAGAATTTTAATATAGTAAGTCAGATGGAAAACTTGTAGTTGTATTGGCTTCCAACCACCCATATTTGGGCCTCAACATATAATTGACGAGAAGATTCAGTTTCAGCATGTAACTTAAAGTCAATAAAGTTGAACGTGAAAATATTCAGTTGAAATAAACGGATGACATGGCTCAGCCTTCCAGAAGTGGTCAATTTGTATAAATTGTTCCCAACCTCAATAAATATATTATTCCTTAGCTTAAATTTTTATCTTCAGAAGCGCTAGATGTTATATCAGTCATTCTTAAGAGACGAAGAGTCAATGTATACAATGGTGGGACTGTCGCATAACATCTCATAGATTAGATAGTCACATCATGACAAATGTACAATTTTAGGATTGGATCTGTTGTTACAGTGTTACGGGAGAACTGCAGACATTTGGCAGATTAAAACCTTTTTATTGAACATTAATAATTTGCTGTGTCTTTTGGATGTAATTGTTTTACTTAACTTTTGAACTTGTTTGTTTATATCATTATTTCAGACATTTTGGTTTGTCCTTGGTTTGGTATTTTGATGCTCTCTTTATCTTTGGTTTGGTATTTGGGAGTTTTGCTCCGGGAACCTACTAAATTGAAGGTTTGTTTTGTAATTGTTATAATTATTGCTTTTAGAACGACATTTGGTCGATTATTTGTGAATTACGAATAAATTTGGTGTCTAAATTGGAGATTGGTTCTGTTGTTAATTTGGCTTCGTAATTTGCAAGTAGATCGATAGTCCGTACTTCAATAACTAGAACGAGCAAAACTTGGACGTAACAATAGAGATTTAGACCGTAATTCTAGATTCGTTTATCTAAAACCACAATACACGAAATACCAGCGAGGTTCAGAGGAGATTATGAGACTAAGACAAACGACCATCACTCTGTTTTTGTTATAGAAACTTCTATGGTATTAACTTCAAGCGATTCAAAGAAGGTGTTAGTGCGTTTTGAAGATGTTAGATCCCCAGAACTCACTTGGTAAGTGCCTTAAGTTTGTAATTTTATTTTGGAAATTTAAATCTCCTTATTTTCGCGACAAAAGCGCACTTTTCTCCTTCATGTCGTATTTCCCACTTGGAATAATCTTCAACGCTATCGGTCCGTTGTGTATTTTTAGTACGTTATATTCGCAACGCTTCCTAATGACAATTTTATGCTGTATATATGTGTTTGATTTGTGTCTGTTATTATTCACTCATGCTCCTGTCTTACGTTCTGTACTTTCCCGTTCCAAGCTTGGACTTCCTTTTTTCTTTTTAGTGAGGCTGGGACGCATAAAATAGCTAGCTTATTGGTATATGGTCACAAGTCTTTGTTCCGTTCGCATACTAAGTGAGCTCTTAATAGCTTCAAAGCAAGAAAATTTGGCGAGGGTGTTTTTGGAAGCATGGATCCTTCTAAACTTAAATTATTACTCAAGCAGCAGATGAAAACATTGCAAATGTTGGCAGGTATCAATATTTTGCCTCCCACACAGTCTAGCACATCTATGCAACCACAGCACAATCAGTGGGCGACATCGCGAATAGCGTTGCTAAGTTTCATTATGATCATGATGTCAACGTTACTTCTGACATGTGCTAAGAAGTCCTATTTGAATTTGATTTTGATTACCAACATGATGCTTGGAAGGTTCAGCCGCTACTTCGGAAGTTGAGTCCTAATGAACTAGGCAGGTATTTCAACTTAATTCTGCCTCTAAGCACACGCGATCACTCATTCTCGGACACTGTCCGATCATTCAGCAAACAATTCGGAGACAACTCCTCACTATTCAGTGCGCGCTATCGAAGTTTGAAGCTCACTATGAACAAAGATGCTGATTTTCTCACATATATGGGTATCGTCAACCAAGAATGTGAACGCTTCCGGTTGAAGTCGCTTACTGAAGACCAATTAAAAGCTCTCATTCTCATCTGCAGCCTTCAATTGCAGAAGTTCATTGACATAATAATAATAATAATAATAATAATAATAACAATAATAATAATAATAATAATTTATTCCCAAATAACAGTTTGTTACATGAGGCATGCCAGTTTACAGGCAAGATCAAATTGATACAAATGATACAATATACAGTGTAATAAATTACATAGCTGGGTTGATAATATGTAAGATATGAATGTAGATGTTTTCAATCAGTACCACAGTTGACGCGCTTCATAAAAGTTGCGTTGCGAATGTGCGACTGATGTTCAAGGATAGGTCCATTGAAGGTATGAGCTTTTAGAAATGGCAACTTTATGTCCCTTTGGGATATCCAAGGCTTTAAGGATGGTGCAGGATGAAGTCACCAGTTCCATATCTCAAGGGGGCTGAAAGAGGGAGCAACAACCCGCGCTATTTAAAAAGGACAGTGGTATTTTTCCTCGCTGAGTAAATTTGTTTGTTTTGATCGTTTATTACGTATCAAGACTACTGTTTTCACTTTAATTGAATTTATTTCAGTTAAAGAATTCGACTAAAGTATCGTTTTTACTGTTTTGTAGTTGGTACTCTTGAGTACTTCTTTTTCAACTGTATCTGTTAGTACTTTTGGTCCTAGCAATCTACAGCTCTTCACTTTTGGTCATTGACAATTGTTTTTTTTTGTTTCTGAGTATCATCACAGTTTTAAAAAAGAACCCCTCTTAAATGACAGGACAGTGTAAAAAAAGTAGTTGTCAACGTCCGGGTTGTCGCTATCCTGTTGAAAGCGGGATGCAGTGCGACGAGTGCAAAGGCTGGTACCACGAAGTCTGCACGAACATAACGCCTGCTGCTTTCAAACGGTACAGTAAAAAGGGTTGTGTGTGGCTTTGTCAACAGTGCTGCTTGGGTGCAAACAGCTTGCTAACCGAGGCCATCTCACTGGTTGATGCTGCAAAGAGGTGCTTTAGCAAGCATAGTCGGAACGCGTCAAGCAGCACTTGATCTGTCGACACGCAAATCAACGTGAAGGAAACTAGGGTTAGTCCGGTGATAGATGACTCACGCCTGTCAAAGAAGGAAAAGCAGTCTCCAAAGAGGCCTGCCCTAAACAAAAGCTTAAGAAAAGTAGGGTCTTCTGTTCCCCGTCTCCCAGATGGGATCCAACAGGAAACACCTAAAAGCCGCAATCGCAAGGCTCGATCGGTTTCAAACGGTAAACATGACACGACCCCTCAGGTCGTCGACAACCCCTCAAAACCCAACACTGAGTTTGATGCAACTGTTATTGCTTCTACCAGCACCGTTGACGAATGGGTAAAGGTTGTGAGGAAGAAAAGTAAAGATATAAAAGGAAAACCTGCTCCCGTAAAAGTGGTTGAAAAATCGAAAGCTGATCATAGCGACAGATCAGCTATTTTTCATAGAATCAAGGAGAGCGATAGCTCTGAACCTAAACTCGTTTTGAGCATGACATTGTACTGATTTGGCAGCTGCTTAATCAACTCATGCCTCAAAATATGACCGGGGTCACCTTGCTAAAGGTGTACAGACTAGGGAGTCTAACGGACTCGAAACCAAATCATTCCAGACCGCTTAAAGTAGTATTCGGCTCATCGAACGAACGTGACCTAATTTTACAAAATGGACACAAATTAAAGGGTTCAGGAGTCTTTATCCGAAAGGACCTACCGTTGGCAGACCGTGTTAAAAGTCGGGAAGCCGAGAAAGAACTACAACTTAGGTTAGACGCCGGCGAAAAGGACCTGAAAATTGTAAATTTTCGGGTTGTAAAACTTCGACAGAGA